GGCGGGGCTGTGTGATTGCCGAAGAAAACCATTATATTCAGCATGTACGTAATAGTAAGTAACAGAAGTGTCGGTTGCGGTTTAGCGTGGCATGTTAATGGGTGAAAGTGTGAAAGCGTTATGGGACACTGTTATTAGTGGCATGTGTACGGACATTACGTTAGTTACGGAAATTCGTAGGAGTGGGTAGTGGTGCATTTTGTGTCATGTTATGTAGTATGTGTTGCTATTGCACGCATAGTAGCTAAAAATATGAATCAAATTAAGGCGAATGAATTATTGAAAATGATTTAAAAGAGAAAATAAATGAATATCCCACTACATTATTAATGATAGGCTTTGGGGAAACATTGTCCTTAACGCAAAATTACTTGAAAATGAAATGTACATGGGAAATATGTGTAACCCATGATTATTAGCTGGGAACATAACATAATTGAAATTAAAAATAGAAAATAATGTGTTTCCACATGCTTAGGTTGATGTGATACATTGGTTCTTTGTAGGTCTTCCGGTTGTGGTTTCCCATGCGGCCACACTAACTACAACGTATAGGTTGCACCTCCTCACCACGTGATGGTATCCTCTTCTTCTTGGGCTTGCCATGTGGTCATTTGACAGCAGGTTTGTATGACAAAATCGTGGGCATGGATTTGTGGTTGTTCGACTGTTGGTATTGGTGTTATGCTTGGTCTGTATGACAACCGATATTCTGTGGCATGGAAATAAGGCTCAATTAATGCGTACAAATCTTGCCCACTTTTCCGAGCAGCGACAATGGCACATGAGCATGGGAACCATAAATCTACCACTGAAAGCACGAGCATGTGCGTTTGTCAACATCAACCATCACAGATAGGTGTGAGTGTACCTCGTACACTGTGGGGCTTGATTGGCTTACAGCACATGACCTCTCGTCGTTGTATGACTTTTCTAGGCATTTTTTCATTTTTGGACATAACAAACCATGCCATTTTAGAGACGTTTCCCGCTTGGTTGACATTTGTCTCATTATTTGTATCCTTATATTGTCTACCAAACGGGTTATTGGTAGGTGACGTGCCTTAGAAATTCAGTTGTTGAAAGATTCGGCGGCATTGGAGGACATCTCGCCATATTGGTTGCCTCTGAATTACAGGGTGTTTGCCAACACAAAGACGGTGTTAGTGTACATAATGTATTATAGCACTATATGGTGTATGTTGAAAACAAAAGGTACGAGTGGAACATGTTAAGATACGCACCTGAAATAAGAGTTCGCCCAATGTTGTGGAGGTAGATTTCTGAGGAAATCGATTGCAATTTTCTTATCGGAATTGGTGAACTTTCTTACCGTCTCTTCAAATGGAATAACAGTTGGTGTATAAACACAGTTGTTGAACTTGGTTATCAACCCAATCCGATGCAAATTGTTCATATATTTCAGTTTGTCCCTTAGGTTCCTCTGAAGGTGTTGCATGCAAAACGCAAGGTGAGCATTCGGGAATATAATAGGCATTGCCTCCATAAGGCCAACATGTCGATCTGATATGAATGTAAACGTCCTGTCATCACCGAGCACGTTACGAAGATGTTGCAAAAACCATAACCAGTTTGTTGCGTTTTCTGCGCCAATAATCGCAAATGTGACTGGGAACAATCCTGTATGGAACTATTTTGGTAAGTTATGTGTAAAGGTGACGTTGAATGTGTGGCAGTTAATATGTTGAAGTAGCAGGGCAGCTTGGGCAGGCATGGTTGTGTGCCATATGTGCATTATATTTGTGTAAATGTTACCTCGGTTTCCGTCCTTAGACGTGGCAGCAGGTAAATTCCCTTTGAACCTCTTATTCAAGAAAGTGCCATCTAGGAAAAGTTATGGCCGGCAATGTTTGAATCTGTCAATGCATGCTTTGAATGATATAAAAAAACGTTTGAAGCTTTTGTCATGCTCATCACTATCAATATTGATATAAGTACTCGGGTTGTGTTCCGTCACGGCCCCACTGTACCACCGTAGTTGATCGAAAGATGCGCTATAGGCCCTAAATAACTTACCTCTGGCTTTTTCGACACCTAACCAAGTAACACAGTAACTTATTTCAAGCCAGTAATTTTTTTTCAAATCAAATGCGACATCAGTCGGTCTGGTTAAAGGCTTGTTGCGGATATGGTGTACGAAGATGTCGGACACCAAGTCTGATCCAAGACGACGGTTGTTGACTGTAGGAACAGCAACGCCACAAATGTGTTCATTGTTCCATTTACAAAGGTAGAAAAACCCATTAGGGTGTGTTTGTTTGAACGGACTGGATAAGGGGGGATTGTAATCTATTGGACTGTTAGTCCTGTGATACATTGTCCTTGGGATACATTGTCCTTGGATTATTTGGTTGAACTGGATTTGTATCCTATGTTTGTTTAGTCATGGGTTTAGAGGTCTGGATTGGACTATTCTATTGAATCTCATGTTTGTTTGAAATATTATGGAAAAGGATAAATGCTTAAAAGACTATTTTACCCTTTTTAAATATTTTACTAAAATAATAAGAATATTAAATTTAAATAATAAATTTTATTTAATTTGTTTACTAGAACTTTTAAAATATTAAATAAATAGAATATTAATAAATATTACATAAATTTATTTTAATTTATAATTGAGATTTTTAAACTTTATGGCTACTTTATTAAGTATAATTAATACCAACCAAATATGAAATATTTTTGACTTCATGCACCAAAGGTTCAACAAATCGGAGATTAAAGATGAAATGAAGCTGCTGCAGTGACATGAAGTTGCTATGAAAGCAAAATGGACAAAAGATAAAAGAAAGAGATATTAAATACTAGGGTCAAAGATGGAATTCAATGGCTAATCCCATGGGATACATTGTCCCACGAATTATGTCCCAACTCCCCCTCCCTGAATAGGATACACTAAGCCAACGAATATAGGACTAATAGTTCGGAGCAAAAAATTAATACCAAACAACGGACTATTAGTCCATTCGGACTAATAGTCCAATCCCATGGTATAATCCTTCGAAACAAACAGGCTCTTAGCATCCAACACTTACGCGTGTACCAACCATGTGCAACCCTTCGAGTCTTGCAACGAACACATAGCGGTTCTTCAAGTACTTGAATTCAAAACCACACTCCACCACATATTTGTAAAGTATTGTCCGAAACTCATGCGCACTCCCTTTCAAAACTCTGTCCCATATGAGTAAGCCCGTTAGCCCATGGTTCTGATAAGAATGTCTTTTCATCATGTGGACAGTAATTTGGTAACAAATCGACATCGAACTCATTGTTAATCTGGTGAACACCGCGTTTGATTTTGCGTGTGGCGAGGCTTGATATGGTGTCCACAAAATCAACGTCTGTTGTTACACCTACATGACCGCGTGACTCAACCATAACGTCGATTAGTTGCAAGCAGAAAGAGTATGCAAGGTGAACCATATTTTGCATATCTACATCATTTTGTAATGAGATATTTTTGTAACCCGGAATATTGAAGAACAAGCAAACATTACCCGGCATAAAGCCACCAAATTTGTCACACACAAAATTAACCAACTCGACAACTGCATAAGGGGATTTGAGATTGTATGCAACATTGGTGGACCGGAAACAGCACAACAACATAATAACGTCATCCATCCCTACATAAAAATTAGTGACAGACGATTTAAAAGGTAGGGAAGAAATTAACAACACACAAACACTTTTGTGTGTGCCGTACACGATAACCCAAACTATACATTACAAACGGTTTGCATAATGCACATTGTAAAAAACGCATCAGAAATGGGAGGGCGTCACAGACAATGCCGAAATCTTATGCAACAACCATTGTACATGGGGAAATACAACATCGTACCTGCCGACATATATGCTGACGGCGTTGAACTGGCGATCTCGGTGTAACCCTAGAGTGAAATGGGTATGCGAATATATATGTGCCCCCTCTGCGCTCTAACTATGGTGACCAAATATTTCCCCCCCTCCACCCCCCTCCAACACAATCACATACCACACAAGATAGGTATGAGGATATGGACATGATTCCTAATTTTGTGTGTCCCAGTAAAGAAAATGGTACAAATGACCATAATATCAAAATAAAAATCAAAACAGGACCCATTGGTAATAATGTTATAACCGATGGGATCTACCAGTATATGTGTAATCTGTAGGACTAAATGGGCTTGTTAATGCTGATATGTGATTTTTGGATAATTTTTCCTATTTTTTATTATTATTATTTTTTTTTTTTTGGTAACAATGATATCTAGAGCATTTTACCGACTTGTCCTTGGTGCGTACATTTCTTGTATCCCACTCATGTTGGGTAATTACCAGGCATAAGTCCAGCACTTGATGAGATTCAAACTCATGACCTTAATTTTGTTTTTCAAGGGCGTATCGTGACTCAAGCTCAACTTAGTGCCGTTTTGGCAACGCAGCAAAAAGCTGCGTTTTGAACAACTTCCCAAAAACGCCAACCCTTGCAAAAACGCCATTGATCCCATTTGGGAAGACCCAAAAAAGCCACTTAAAAATTTACCAAACTACCCTCTGGAACATTATAATTAATTAATTCAAAAAATTGTTGACATGCAAAAAGTAAGAATATTTTGGTCATTTTAGAGTGATGTGACACTTAAAAAATATTAAACCAAAAAGCAAAAAAACTAACTTTTTATCAACTTTCCAAATCACTTCCAAAAAAGTCAAAAAGCTTGGTAAAAAATCAAAAATCAACTTTTTACCAACTTCTCAAAACATCGGTTAACCCCTCCAGGGATAGGGCTATTTGGGTAACTTTGTTTGTAGAACACCAACTTCTTCCATAACCTGTCACCTTCGCTGGCAAAGTGACCGTTGGGACGTTATGTTCAGCCTTCTAATGTCCCGCCAATCCATCTCTGTCTCCTCACCAGGTCGTTGCTTCTAGATACAGAAAATCTTAACAGAAATATAAAACATTGACACACAAACAGGAGGGAGAGAGAGAGAGAGAGAGAGGAAGGTGGTGGTGGTGGAGGAGGAGGTAGAAGATACCTCTAGAACCCTAACAACCAGTAGGTGAGCCATCTTAAAATACTTGACAATTGCTTGATCAACCCATCCTTTTCTTTCTTAAAAACACTCAAATTACCAAGAAAAGTTATGATCTTAGCAGCTTTTGGATTCTGAATTCGACGTGTTCTCTCAGACCCAGTTTGCCAAAATCGCTTGAGATCAGAACGCAACTCTCATCTTCAACCATATCGATTTAGCAGCATTGCAAAGATGAGATTTGTCATCTCAGTTCTGTTATTTCTTGTGTTCATTTCATGTGGAGGTAAAAACACCTTTCTCAGTTTTGATTTGTGTGTATGTTTTTGCTTGATTCTGTTTTGCTTCTTTTCAAAAATTGTAGTTGCATATGATCCATTGGATCCGAATGGGAACATAACAATCAGATGGGATGTAATGTCTTGGACCCCAGATGGCTATGTGGTGAGTCCTATAACAATCTCATAAATTTGTTCTCATGTTTGAAAATACATTCGAAGTGTTTTATTTTATTTTATTTTCTCTCTCTCTCTCTCTCTCTCTCTCTTATGTTTAAGAAGTTAATCAGATGTTATTTACACTGACGGCCCCTAAAATATGTGATTGTTTATGCTTTAGTCCCACATCTTTTAATTATTTCAATTTGATCTCCAAAATATATGATCTATTACAATTTAAGTATTTGGCGACAACGCTGCTCAAAATCAATAACATATGGATGGATATTTTTGGAATTTTACATTAAGGCTCAACAAAATCAAAAGGATCAAATGCGTACATGGTTCCCAAGGTATGCATTTTGGTCCCCAAAATATGCTCTCAGTTGCATGTTGGTCCCCAATCCTTTAATTTTGTTGCACTTTCGTAATGTTATGAAATTACCACTTCTTCTGTTGATATTGAAAGGCATTGATGTCAAGGACTAGAGTGTAACGCATTGCATATTTTGGGAATCGTAGTGAAAAAATTAACAGATTAAGGACAAAATGTAACATATCAAATATTTTATGGACCATTAGTGCAATTAACACTAATTTTTACTCAGATAAAAACCATATGTTGACAAGGTCTTTGATGGCTTGTTTATCTGCAGGCAGTGGTGACAATGAACAATTTCCAGATGTACAGGCACATCATGAGCCCTGGTTGGACCTTAGGTTGGACATGGGCTAAAAAAGAAGTGATATGGTCAATGATTGGGGCTGAGGCCACTGACCAAGGTGATTGCTCCAAATTCAAAGGCAACGTCCCTTATTGTTGCAAAAAGAACCCTACTATTGTAGATTTGCTCCCCGGTACACCCTACAACCAGCAATTCCAGAATTGCTGCAAAGGCGGTGTGGTGGCATCTTGGGGCCAGGATCCTGCATCTTCTGTCTCCGCCTTCCAGGTCAGCGTAGGCCAATCCGGTACTACGAACAAGACGGTGAAACTTCCTAAGAATTTCACTCTGCTAGGTCCGGGACCAGGGTACACTTGCAGCCCAGCAAAAATCGTGCCTCCCACCAATTTTTTCACTCCTGATCTTCGGAGGAAGACTCGGGCACTCAGTAAGTCCTGCTCTTTCTCCCAAGGTCGAACCGTTCTTGTATATCCAAGATTGATTACTTTTGTAGGTTTCAAAGAAAAAACAGTTAAATTTCACTAGAGTTGGTATGTTAAAAAAATGCTCAAATCATATCCAACTTGAACAATTTCACAGAACCTCTATATATCCAGTTCAGTCCACACCCAAGCTCCAATTGTTGTTGCCTTAGAAGCACCAACACTCCAAAATGGATGCCCTCTCCATGTCCGACTCTACGTTGCTTGTCAATGTAATTATTATTTTTTTGTCAGACATATTAAGGATATTGGTGGATAAATGTGTCCAGAGTTTGAACAAGTCTTGAGACAGATTTCTGGTTTATATTTTTATTTTTAATAATTTAGAAAGATGATTTGAGGGTCAAAGTAAAATATATGAAAATAAAATTAAAATATACCCACATATACGTCACTTATCAATGTAATTATTATTTTTTTGGCAGACATATTAAGGATATTTTGTCGATACATGTGTCCAGAGTTTGAACAAGTCATGGGACAGATTTGTGGTTTTTATTTTTATTTTTAATGATTTAGAAAAAAGATTTGGGAGTCAAAGTAAAATATATGAAAATAAAATAAAAAATTAAATTAAAATACACCCACATATATATTGATGCCTCTCATGTTTATTTATCCTAAATTTATATTCATATAGTAAATAAAAACATATAAAAATAAAATAAAATTTTATCGTATCCCCACCGTACTTGTTTCCTAATTTTTTTTAGAACCACGGCTGTCTCGGTGTTTCTTACGCTGTGGCTGCGATTTGAATATTACATGACAATTTTTTCATTCTTTGACGTGCAGTGACGTGGAATGTGACCTGCACTTATTCACAGTTTCTGGCCAGCAAACACCCAAGTTGTTGTGTCTCATTCTCATCCTTCTACAATGCAACAATCACTCCTTGTCCTTCTTGTGCTTGTGGTTGTGAAAACAAGAACAATTGCATCAAGTAAGCTACTATCTGATACACATTTTGTGTACATATATCTATGTTTCGAGTACATGAAAGTATCTAATCCATCAAACAACTATTGATGGTGATCTAGGAGTGATTCCAAACTTCTTAGCATGGTCGGACTGAACACTCCGACGAAAGGCAACACGCCACTGCTACAGTGCACGCATCACATGTGCCCGATCCGGGTGCACTGGCACGTGAAGCTCAACTACAACAATTACTGGCGTGTGAAGATCTCGATAACTAACTTCAACTACCGGATGAACTACACGCTCTGGACTCTTGTTGCTCAGCATCCTAATCTCAACAATGTCACTCAAGTTTTTAGCTTTGATTACAAACCTCTCATTCCCTATCAGTCCATCAGTAAGTTACCACACATATTTGAACAATTCCTACATTTTTCTGTCAAAATATTAACCTAAACTAATGCAATATGATATGGCAGATGACACAGGTATGTTCTACGGCATGAAATTCTATAATGATCTGCTAATGGAAGCCGGGCCATTTGGAAATGTTCAGTCGGAGGTGCTTATGCAAAAGGATCAGAACACTTTCACATTTAAGCAAGGATGGGCGTTTCCCAGGAAAGTATACTTCAATGGTGATGAATGCATGCTACCCCCACCTGATGCATACCCAAATCTACCAAACTCTGCGCAACGAAACTTATTTGGGCTCTCAATGTTGATTTATTCAGTGTTTTTCTTGTTGATCAGACTCTGGTGATTGTCAGGAAGTTTTGAAGCCTAGGCATCTACAACGCCGGGCTAATGGGGATCACAGGTACACATTTAAAAATTCTTACGAAAAAACTAAAGGGGCTGGAGTCGATCAAGTGTAGTTTGATATGATGAATTTATGAATAGGAACACTAGATATGAAATCTTCTTGAACTGTTAATGATCAATCAATGTCACCATGCTGTAAACAAATTTGTTTTGATTGTATAGCTTCCATTGTTTTACTAATAGGATAAGAGGAAATAGACCATGCACAATATGAAGCTACAAGCAAGAACAATAATTCATTAAACCAATACCCATATATTACATCTAATTTCTCTCTTAAATGGTTTTTTATTCACTTGCGAATGTTGAAATACTCTACAAACCATATGACACTGTAAAGTAGTAAACAAGTGACACAACAGGTACAAAGTAACAAAATGGTAGTGAATTAAGGACCCCAAAAAAGAAAAAAGAAAAAACAAGTTTGTTCGAACTGAGGCACACCTGAACCTCTATACTGCTTGTTAAACATCATTGCCAGACACAAATTCTTCAGTCAGCTTGTCCTAGGTTCTTGGGTTGAATGTGTTGAGTATAATTTTTTGAAACAATAGAACTTGTGCTTATACCGATGAAAAGATTAATGCCAAAGACAGCAACAGGGGCAACATTAGAGTAAGCAAAGATGTATCCTTCCGGGAACTGGTATTTGGCAAAAATGGGTAGGCATCGGGAGGTGGCATGACACAATTATCGCCATTGAAATAGATCCTCCGAGGAAAAGCCCAACCTTTCTCGAAAGTGAAAGTTGATGCATCCTTTCGGAAGAGTAGCTCCGATTGAACATTACCGTAAGGGCCGGCTTGCATGAGCAAATCATTATAGAACTTAATTCCCCATAGCATGGCAGTATCATCTGTTTGCAGAATGAAATTAAAAAATAAATATATACACATTCTTTATGTACAAGTCATTTATTATCCGACTTACTTACAGGAACAAACATCTAGAATTTAAGATCTGACTTACTTATAGCTCCGTAAGGAGTTAATGGCTTGTAGTAAAAACTGAAAATCTGAGTCAGATTGTCGAAATTGGGGTGTTGGACAACTAAGTTCCACTGTGTATAGTTCATTCTGTAATTGAAGTTTGTAATTGTGACCTTCACTCGCCAGTATTCCTTGTAGTTAAGCTTAACGTGCCAGTGAATTCGGATAGGGCACATATGGCTTGTACATTGTACCAGGGGTGCATAGCTATTCTTGTTAGCTCCTGAAACAACTGACGCTAAATATGGCGAGTTTGGGCTGTAGGGATAGAGAAAGGAAGGGGAAAAACCCATGTTAGAAGAAAATCTAGAAAAAGAAAATGATGTGACAAGGAGGAAAAAAAAAGTGTGAGAAAGAAAAGTTGTGAGAGAACATACTCTACACAGCTCCCAGGCTGAGTTATGTTGTTTTGGCAGCCACATGTGCATGTCGGGCAGGGTACTATTGTGTCATTGTAGAAGGATGAGAGCGAAACGCAGCAAGTAGGAGTTTTCTGAGCCAGGAATTGCGAATAAGTGCACGTAACATTCCACGTCACTGCCATAAGATAAAGATAGGGTCAAAATCCAAATTTCAAAGGTACAAGTTCACACACAACTTCATTAGTTGGGACAAATAGCTTGTAATAAATTTCCCTTCATCAAATGCAATTAAGATAGCACTCTCGTTTTTCTCCAATGCTAATTCAAAATAACATAAACTCTGCCTGGGAGAAAATTAATAGCCATTTTGAAACATATTTATATATATATGTGATAAATAAGCATTTTGAAACATATTTATATATATATGTGATAAATAAGCATTTTAAGGGTGATATTTTAGTAGTCACTAGCAAGACTCTAATCTAAATTATTGGCTAAATAGAAATGAATGTGCCATGGTAATGGCTTAGGCCCTAACGAAAGAAGACAATAGATAGATGTAAATGGTCTATAGAATTCACCAAATAACTTACTCATAGCTTGTGTGACTCTCCTTCCATCTGAGGTAAAAAATTTTGTAGGTCTTACAATTTTTGCTGGACCACAAGTATAACCCGGCCCTGGTGCTTTCAAAGTGAAGTTCTTGGGCACTCTTACTGTTTTGTTGGTGGTTCCAGCTGAACCGACACTAATCTGGAAGGAGCTCGCAAAATTGTTCGGATCTTGTACCCACGAGCTAATTACTCCCCCCTTGCAGCAATTTGTAAACTGCAGGTTGTAAGGAGTTCCAGGCAATAAGTCCACAACCGTTGGATCCTTCCTACAGCAATGTGGAATGTTCCCTTTGTATTTTGAACAATCTCCTTGGTCTGTGGCTTGGCTTCCCACCATGCTCCATATCACCTCCTTCTTTGCCCATGTCCATCCTAGTGACCATCCCGGAGCCTGAATGTGGCGATATTGCTGGAAGTTGAAAATTGTAACAGCCGCCTATCCACACGCAATAAGAAGCTGATTAGGTAATGAAAAGAAAAAACACATGTTCAAGGCTGGTTGGAAGGAACATGACTTTGCAAAATAAAGACTGTCCATATCTATGAATCAGTTTCTCTATTGGGATCAAGCATTCATAAGCCAAGGTTAAGCTCATGAAGAATTGAGATTGTGCAAACCAAACTCTTGCTACACCAAATTGTGTGTTGGTCAAATTTTATAAGGGAAAAGGAGCCTCAATCAAGAATTATAAACACTTGAAACTGCGCTTTGGAATATAAAGACCACATAGCAACAACAAAAACAAAAACAGCTACTCTAAGAATCAAATGATTACTGCAGTTTCTGTAAACTGCTTATAACTTGAAAGTGAAATGCAAAGTGAAAACAAGTCTAAAAGCTCAATTGCAATAATTGGACAACTTGGTTGAGCTTAAAGAACTTAATAAGGGCCAGAGATAACTTGAGCGTGTGCCAGTCATATCAAAGGTTGTGTGTGTGTGTGTGTAAAGGCACGTGCTCCGGCATGCACAAGAGGGGGGGCTGACTATATTAAATAGCACAAACAATATTAGCCTGTCATACCATCTTGGACAAAAAATAAGAAATGATGTAGGACTTGGAAGACATAGGTGCAAACTAAAAGCATGTTTATCTGTACACAGAATTAAACTACTCTATAGTAGGATATAGCTTGCAAATACTTACAAGATAGCCATCGGGTGTCCAGCTTAAGATATCCCACTTAATTGTGATATTTCCATTCGGGTCAAGGGGATCGTAAGCATCTGAAAGAAAAACCAGAAAATTAAGGTTAAACTCCTCGTTCTAATTTTGTAATAATCTAGCATTAAGAGAAACGGGAAGCATGTAAACAAAGACTGCACAAAAAACACAACAGAAGTTCCTATAGCTCATCATGAATCACAAGAAGAAAGGTCAATATCACAAATGGTCATTGGTTTAACTATATATATTTCACCAAAATTACAGTTTCTGGTGGTTAAACTATCAAAAAATAAATAAATAATCATGTACTTATGAAAATACTGGAAAGCTACATGAATACTATACAGATATAAATCTATGAGGGCAAATTACTATGGTAGTCCTTGTACTTTGATCATTTTGTGATTTTAGTCTTTGTAATTTCAATTGGCTCAATTTTGATCCTAAATTTATAATTTTGTCTCAATTTGGTCCAATTGATTACAACTCTTAACATTTCTTTATGAAAAATGCACTCATAAGTGTTATATGTTATATTTTTAAGAGCAAAATTATAAACTTACTCAACTCAATTAATTTAGTGATAACTTTCTTTAAAAAACACTAACGATATTATCAATTAGACCAAATTGACACACAATCCAAAATTAAGGGTCAAAATTGAGCCTATTGAAAGTGGAAAGACCAAAATGGCACAAGATGTAAAATATAGGGACCACTGGTATAATTGGCCCAATCTATAATTTATGACCCTGCAGAGCAGCTGAAGTAAATATCTTGAAACAAAAAGAATTTTAATCAAACAAATAGATTATAGAACATATATATATATATATATGTATGTATATATATAATTTCGTTGCAAGGCACATGAAATGCCTAGTTCATTAAAGGGAAGGAAAAAAGAAAAAGAGAAAAACAGTCATGTCTAAACGAATGTTCATACACATGCCTTTATGCTTTGTATTATTTTGTTTTTGCAGCTAACTTTTCCATATCTACACCAAGTCTTACAACCCAATTATAAATCTTGGAGAAATTGAAAAATATTCACCAAAAAAAAAAAAAAAAACACAGAAAGAATTAGAAAATGAATAAGGAGGAAAAACAAATATGGCACATTTGGCATTTACCAAGATTCAACTTTCAAGCAAATCCTATCATGACATTGATAATCACTAATAAATTAACTCAGATTAGAAAATAGATAAATAAATAAAGAGTATAAATCCAAGAAACAATAGACAAAACGCTCCAATTCAATAATCTAGAAACATGAACTCTAAATCTATGACTGCCTTAAAATCGAAAAATCAAAAGAAACCCAAATAGCACTAAAAAAATTAAAAATTAAAAATCTTATGGACGATCAAGGGAAACTCATTTCCTCAATCTTCAATTCCACAACAAATTTGCCAAATCTCTCAAGCATTTTCGCATCCATCGATCAATTAGGCCCCAAAAAGAACCATTCTCCACATAAACGACACAAATTGAAGAAAGCAGCCAAGCCCAGTACAGAAAGAACAAGAAACAACAACAAAACTCAAGATTTCAAAGATTTTTAAACCTGTTGATATAAAGCTAAAGGAAGAAATCAAGAACACAAGCACAATGGCACTAGTAGAGAATTGGGTCACAGATCTAAAGCAAAAACCCATTTCTTGTTGATGATTTTCCGGATTGATTTCTGCCCAAGATCATGTGGAGAGATAGTGAAGAAGACAGAGAGAATGGAACGAAGAAAAAGAAAGAAAGGAAAGAAAGAAGAGAACGCGGTGGTGACTGGCTGGCTTTTGCTCACACACGAGTGGACTTTTGAAGTCTAGAAGGCAAAAACAAATGTGATTTTCGTAGAGGGAGGATTCGTGATAGGTCGCTGTCACCGTAGATAATGACAGTTGAATCAAGGCCGTTCATCTTGTGGAATAACAAATATTTCAGCCATTGACTGTGACTAAGTCTAATCGGTCGAGTTGGTGGGAGGTGATTTTCCGAAGAATAGACTCTATGCGCCTGACTGTTAGTTATTCCAGTGGATGCCAGGTCACAGTCCAATGCTGTTCCAAATGTACTATGATTGATAATGTAAATAAAATCTATTATTTTTATATTGAGTGATTAAAAAATATAAAAATGTATAAAAATTTGTGATTAGTTAGAGATATGATCACGTATTCATGGACCAAACAATATTTTTTTTGTAGCACAATAGTTGATATTTTATAAATTTTTTAAAATAATGATTTAATAAAAAAAAAATTGGGAGTAAATTACAAAAGGTAAAATACCAATAAATCTCAAATTTTAATTTGTTAAACCATTTGGTCCTGCCTTTTATTTTGTAGACTAATAAGTCCTATTTAAATGTCAAAAGCTCACTATAGGCATTTTTTAGATTTCCCTCCTTTCCGAACATCAGCAACATCAACTACATCATCAAACGTCATCAAACATCAACAATGTTCTGTTCATATTTTTTTTATCAAAACAAACATCACGTCATCAAACATCAGCAACGTTCTGTTCATATGTTTTTATCAAAACAAACATCATCAACGTCATCAAACATCAGCAACGTTCTATTCATATTTTTTTATCAAAACAAACATCAGCAACGTTCTGTTCATATCAAAACATCATCAACGTCATCAAATATCAATGTTCTGTTATATTGTATAAATATCAAGCAATTTAACATCAGCAACGTTCTGTTCATATGTTTTTATCAAAACAAACATCGTCAAACATTAGCAACGTTCTGTTCATATCAAAACATCATCAACGTCATCAAACATTAATGTTCTATTATATTGTATAACCATCAACGTTCTGTTATATTGAAATTGCCTGATGTTTATACAATATAATAAACAAAGATACCATACCAAATATATAAATGACTAAATAGTTTACAAAAAAATATTCAGGACTAGATAGAGCAACATTTCCCAATATGGGATTTATGAATAATTTTTCCAATTACAAATATACTTTTGAGGTTTGTTTAAAATACAAATTATTTTTTATGATTTGAAAAATTACAAATATCTCTTATTAGAATTTTTTATTTTACAGAATTAACTAAAAAAATGAAATTCATAATTGTTCTCCTATACAATAATAAAATTACCTAAATTATTAATTGAAACATATTTTTAACATCATTAAAAATTATTAATTGAGTTGATGATTTATTAATAAAATGAGCGATTTGTTATGAAATTAAAAATCTCAAGGGATGGAATGTAAGTATCAAAATGGCAAGAAGCGATCCGTATTTTAATCAAATCTCAAAAGATGTATATGTAATTTACCCAAAAATTGGTATGAACTTCACTTACAAATCTTGAATGTATATTGTAATGATGTAATTGAGATTGATATATCTTTTGGAAACATAGAAAAAAGCGAGTTTGTTGATTTATTTGTTTATTTGAGCTACATTCTCTTTCTCTTTTTTTTTTCTCTTTTTTTTTATTTTTCAAAAAAAAAAAATATCAATAAATTAACTTTTTTTTTTTACTTTTCAAAATAACCTGAATTTGTGTAGACTTTTTTTTTTTTTTTAAATGAAAGTAATCCAGCAGGACTCACCACTGTCAGGATCGCTCAATGTATTTGCTGTGCCTAGTCTTATTCAATAATATTTGACTCACAAAGTTGAATAAATGCAAGTAATTTTATTTTATTTCCATTCTTTTTGTCAATTTCCCTAATCAGAGGCAGCTTATGGGATGATTAGTAGCTTAATGATGTGCGCCTTCTTTTTCAACATCTTTCATAACATTACATTATTTTTTATTCGTTTGATACTGTCAGTGAGAGAGAATACACAAAATTTTCTTATTATTTTTTTATTCGTTTCATACTTTTATTCTCGTGACGAAAATGAGCCCTAAATACTTGATTACCAACACTTAAATTAAATATATAATAAATATAAAATATATATGGATCAATAAAAATTATTAATGAAACTCACTTACTAAAAATCTTGCCTATATATATTGTGATTGATTTTGTATTTCTAAACTTATTCAAATTTATACTTTTTTTGTCCCATATTTTATCTTTGTTATTAATTTAGGAGTGTTTGGAGTTTGCTTTTTTGTGACTCTTTTATTGGCTTATTTTCATTTTTAGTAAACTTTTTTTTTTCAAATTTTGGATTTTGAAATTCTACTTGATGAGACGAATCAAAAAATAACATCAAAAATTTCAAAAAAGACAAAAATAAGTAAAAAATAGTAAATTATTTATTTGTTTATTATTTTTTACATTTGTCTACATAAGATGAATTGAAAAAAAGAAATTAACATAATTTAAGAACAAAAAAACCACTGAAGACAACAAAATTCAAATAAAAATTGTGATTTATTTGAAAGTTACCAAACAACTAATAATTTGGTTTGTTGAGAACAAGTGTCATTACCCCAGCAATAATATAAGATCTATTGTAGAGTAATCACTGTTCCAAATACGAGTTAGGGGTTCTTTATTTTTAAAATAATTTGCTCCTTTATTAGAATTTATTTACCCTTATAATTATCAAATTTTGTGAGTCACGAATTACGAGAATTTTGAAATATATGTGAATAAATTGAGATAAAAGTTACGAATTACATGTATGTTGTTTTTTTTATTTTTAATTACATTAACTGCATTTTCTTCATCTTTAAAAAAAAAAAATTTGAGATGAAGGGACAATTTAAATTCCATTGATTTTAAAAGGGTATTTTTTTTAAGGTCCCTGATATTATGATTTTATAGTATAAAGGACATCAACTATTTTCATGATGTCTAAGGTCCCTCAACATAAATTCAGAGAAATTTCAATCCAGAGAAAATTCAATCCAGAGAAAATTCAACCAGAGAAAATTTAATCCACAGAAATTCTCTGGTCCAAACCAAGGAAAATTCAATTCAAAGAAATTCAATTATGTCTAAAATTTACCTCTCATTCTAGCCAAAATGAGGTATACAGTTCTAGAAACCACAATCCATAAGAGACAGAAAATCTTCCTGTGGAGGTTAGTCTCAGCAAATATCCAAATAGACTCCTCTGAATATCCCTTCTGCGGAGTGGAACCTGAATCTGCAGTCCATCTGTTCTTCTTATGCAAACCCATCAAGATGATTTGATTTGCCAAGTTGGGTATTAGGACAGATGATTTCTCTCACCTATCATTCTCAGATTGGATCAACCATATTCTCACTCTATCCTTGATATTTGGAGTTTCTCCTCCAAGCAAGTCAGATTTTGTGCTTTTTGCAGTAATTCTCATGGAAAAAACTTGGCTTGGGAGAAACAGAGCCATCTTTTGCTGTCCAAAGGTTGAACCAGCGAAATTTGGACACATGAGAAATTTCAAAATTTCTCTGGACTCCCCAAACCCAAAGAAATTCTCAGACAAACATTTCCAGAGATTCTCCCACCCACAGAATTTCTCTAGACTCCACAACCCAGAGAAAATTCCCAGCCAGAGAAATTCTCTCAACCCAAAGAATTTCTCTGGGCATGACCAGATGCAATAGTTGAGTTGAAATGTGGTGATACAGTCACTCTGCTGCCAAAGTATGCCTGAAGATGTAACAAACTATATTGAATCAATACTTAAACATAAAATTCATTGGAACATGATAACTTGATTTTTTTGTGTTCCATAAGAGCATGCATCATATGAAAAACTTGCATGGCTGCCCAATCAGGATAAACATGAATGTTGGTCTGATCCTTTGAATTTTCTCTGGGTTGAATCCAAAGAAATTTGAGAACTTTTTGGGGGCATAAGCTCCAAGACAGATCACAACCTTCCAGCTTCGGTAGAGTTGGATCCCAATTTGCATGTTGAAGCTTCGTTGCAATCTACCAAGTACTTTCCAGAAACGTTTTCAAGCCTCAGATGCGTAGCAACGTAGCAAGTCGTCGCAACGGCCTGAACAAAAATTCAAATTCATTAACACACTTGCACCTACTATAAATACTTACAATAAGATATATAAATTAAGTGAATATCATCAAAAATTTGAGCGAGTGATTAATAAACACTACCTGAGGAATTTTCTTCAAGAACTTGGAAGCCAAGAAGAATACCAGAAATTCTCTCAACCCAAAGAATTTTACAACCTCAAGACTCAACTACATGCGTATATATATATATATATATATGTATGAATCTTAGGTTTAGAGAATAGTAGCGACCTGTTATGAAGTCGGGTTGCGGATCCGGGCGGCGCTGAGGTCTGCGACGGTGGCGGAGCAGAGGGAGGAGTTGAAGGAGAAGGTGTTGAGGAAGAGGTCGTAGAGGAGGGTAGAGGAGCGGAGGGAGGAGTCGGAGGAGAAGGTGTTGAGGAAGAGGTCGTAGAGGAAGGTGGAGAAGCAGAGCTTGTTGCCTTGGATCTGGAAGACAGTGGGTGAGAGGAGAAGAGAGAGAGAGAGAGAGTAGAGTAGAGACAAAAGTCAAATTTCTCTGATATATGTTTAGGGATCTTAGACATCAAAAAATAATTTTGTGGATCTCTTCCATTATGAAAAGTGGGAGAGGGACCCTAAACCAATTTTCCCGATTTTAAATGGGCAATCAGCTAAGAAGTTCATTTCTAAAATTTTTAGGCTAATAGGTATACACGTAAATTGTTTGTTTCGGGCCAAAATAATACTATTTGTGCAAAATAAATACTTTTTTTTTTTTCAAAACTTACCTATTTGTCCAATTATTTATTCAAATTTTACTCATACATACTCATATCACTTATTTACTTATCTATTCAATGTCATCAATATGTTCACCTTATTGCTACCAACTGCCC